AGCTGAGTAATACTTCCTATTTTAACATTCCTCAGCATATTTTTAACTAATTTTGCTGGTCATTTTTCCTAGTCTGAGTTTTATCATTGGTATAAATATTATTGTTTGTTATGTCATGAACCATGAGAAGAGATTTATTTTTCCTAGAGCCAGAAATCTCCACAATGAGAGCCAAAGTGGGCTGTTTCAGAAGCTGAATTTGATGAGCAAATTATAGGATTCTTATTTTCACCCTTATGGCATTATTACCCCTCCTTGTTTCCCATCTCTGCAGTCATCTAGTCAAATACAGCTACTTAACAACAGGCTGGTGTAATGTTGTCACCAGACACAGGGGGACAACTGTTCAGTAATGCCCAGAATATTTTTGTAATCTTTAAAAACCAACTAAGACATACAATCCACACAGAGGAAAGCAATGGAGAATGGGTTTGGATGTTCACTTTGTGTACAGCGTAGTATTAAACAAAGTTTTAKTGYTCTGTGAATATTTGCTACAGAAATMMTTCCCTTCAGYCAATTAATAATATTCTAGGCCTCCATCATATTATCTTAGAAAGAGATGTCTTCCTCAGAGCATCTTTGTTTTGTGTGTTTATGATATATTTTAACACAGATATACCTACACACATTTATATTTGTTGACACACACATATTCCCATAAAGCTGTTCCATAGGTTCTGTTCATAAAGGAAGTGCTCTGTGTAGATCACCWGGCCTCATTTTGCTCCACCTGAAGCTACAGATGGAGAAGCTTTTCAAGGCAGAAGTTTAACTTAGCAGTTTATCCCAAATTAGTGATGTAACTATAGCAGTAAGTAGGCAGGAACATGAGATTAAATAATTAAGATTCAAATGGTTCCCRTGAGCATTTGGCAGAATTTGGAAAATATTTTCTTCTCAAATAAGGTCCCTTTGCACTATTTCCCACAGTGGTTCTCACTGCTCCATATATAAAACATTWTTAAGTTGGACATCTCTKATATCATCACCCTTCTTGTTATTTRCTAGAAGAGCTTCTTTTCCAGTAATTTATTTTTAATTTGCTTTTATTTTTTCCAGCACAAAGCTGAATTCTTTAAGGAATAGAATTRCATATTGACTAATAGATTACAGATTTAAGAATTCCTTCATATGTATCAATGATGGAACACAATATCTCAGCAAATTATTCCCTTAGCAAGAATAATGGTACATTTAATTTCTTAAGGTTATTTAGAGACATGTTTTTTAAGTACYCATTTAATGGTAATAGAGCATTTTGTTTGCAATTTTAATTGTTGATTTCTACAACATTCCAGGTATTTATTTTGGACAGAGTGGGGACAGACCCCTTGCATAGGCAGAGCACACTTGGATGGGTCAGAGAAGGTTGTCCTTGTCAGCCTGGGGATTGCATGGCCTAACGGGATTTCCATCGATTATGAGGTTGGTTCCTTTGTCTTCCAGTGTAGCTTAAAATGTACATWATTTGTTATGTTTCATTAAAGCCAGCTGGTGTTCCACCTTGATGTAATCTTAATAASTCTTAATTAAATACTTGGACAAGCCTGTTGATGTTTCCTTTGAAATTAATCTTTAGGAAAATAAATTGTATTGGTGTGATGCTCGTACGGACAAGATAGAAAGAATTGACCTTGAGAGTGGAGGGAATCGAGAGATTGTGCTGTCAGGGAGCAATGTGGATATGTTTTCAGTTGCCGTGTTCGGAGCTTACATCTACTGGTCTGACAGGTAATTTATTTTTCATAAGTATTTTAAATCTCCAAACGTTACTTCAGTGCCAGGTGCCTCACCTCTGTGGGATTAGCCCTTCCTTAGCAAGGTCACAAAAACCTGTGCAGTTTCAAGGAGAGGGCGTTGCGATGCCGAACGCTCAAAAGCGCCTCGGTGTCGTAAATGAGAAAGGTTTTACACTTTCCATTAAGTGAACTCTCCACTGCTCCTCAGTCATTTGTTYGGTGTGAATTAGTTGAGGATTGTTGATGAGACATCTTCAACTTTTTTGGCAGAGCACATGCAAATGGCTCTATTAGAAGAGGCCACAAGAATGAGGCCACGGATGCTGTGACCATGAGGACTGGCCTTGGGATAAACCTGAAGGAAGTGAAAGTCTTTAATAGAGCACGAGAGAAAGGTTGGCTGTTCTTAAGGATGCTATTGATTGTTTTAATATCACCTGCTACTTCTTCTGTATATTAAAGAATTCCAAAAATGAAGTAATCAATGAATTTATCTCCRCTTTTTACTCTTGAAGTATTTTTTTAAACTAAAATTAATGTACTGAAGACAAATTCATATTAYAAATACTACTAAAGTTCTTCAGAGTATTTTAAAGAGAAAAAACTAAAACCAAAATGCTTCCTATCATTCCATGTTTTCTGTTTTGTTTTTCTTAAAAAACAATTTTAGGAATGAGAGACCTTGACCTGTGCTTTACAGAGCAGTAATTYCAGGCAGTTTCAGATTTCTACTGGAAAGCAAACCAGAATTTTTTCTCACTAGAAATTCCATTCTCTGTGTCTCCAACATTCATTTGCTGAAATTACTTGAGTTTGAATTTTTAGTTTTGTTTTTTTTTCTTCTTCTGTGGGAAGATACCTTGTAAATAATCAGATATCCTTTATATTCCATTAGTTTACCAAACTCAAGAGGCAAAAGTTATTGTGGACTCTCTGTGATTTATGGTACTGATGGTTAAACTTCATTCTCCACTGCCTGACTAAGAATAATCTTGTTTAAACGGTCTTTTTAATTCTGGTTTTGACAAAACCTTGAAAAACTTGTTTCAGTGAGCAAAATTGGTTAGATGTCTTCCAAAAATGATGATGATTTCCTCAGAAAAAACTGCTACCGGCTAATCCAGACAAAATTTCAGAGATATGTATTAAAAAAGAGATAGAARAAACCAAAAAAAGTTACCATACTTTATAAAGTTTGTAACACAAGTAGATTTGTGGTGCTGGTAGCACTCAGAATTCGCATTAATCACAGCATTATGTAGTCAAAGATTCTATTTCTTCTACATACCTCTTTCATAAATAACTGCATTAAATATAAAATGTGTATTAAATCTGCATTTTTAAAGGAAGCATATTTACTAATAAGAAAAACKCTTTAAAAAAAATTTAAATTTTGGAGAAAATGTGATTTGCAAGAATATGTGCATATTAGTTTCACTAAAGACTTCTGCATGCAATTTCAGAGCATCATATTTTGTGGATACAAATAAATTCCACACCAAACCCTTTTTCTTTTAAGTAGGCTAGAAATTGTTAATGTCTGCTGKCTTGGAAGGGCTTTATATTATAGAGTTAGGCAAATAGACCAGTGGGATAAAACAATGCCACTTTATGTGTAATTTTTATTGACAGATTTGTAGACTTGATCATGTAACGAATATGAGAAATGGTTGCTGAGGCTAAAAATCTACTGATGTTAGTTTGAAAAACATACCTGAATGATTTTTTAATACATTTTTCAAATTTTACTAGGGTACAAATGGTTAATGTCATTGGGAGGGGATGTCAGTGAGCCAGAAGGACAAAAGGGAAAAAAACAGGTGAAAAATGTTTTCRGAATATTTTTTGTATCTATATTTTTATAGATAAAATATATCTATTATATATATTTTTCTAAGTTTATTGAACTAGAAGTAGTTAACAGTGTTTAAAAAACCCCAATGTAATTAGATAGTTTTCTGACCTTTTGTTATTAACAGAAACAAGCCCCCACAATAAACGGAGAAGAACCCCAAACCAAAAAAAAAAAAAAAAAAACCAGAAAACCAACCAAACCCACTACACCCCAAGAGCTGTGCTGATTGTGATTAATGCTTTTTTTTCAAACATTGTTTTGCCTTTTCTCAGGAGCCAGTCCTGCAGTGGGACTTGCACACAGATTCCCATCCTTCAGTGCAATTTTACAGGTGTACAAGGACATGCCCTGACTCCACTGGTTTCAGGACTGGCCATTTTTAGAGATATTTACAGCTGGTGAACCATGGAAACATTGACGTTTTCCAAGAGATTTAAGAAGCTTGAGGATCTTTTTCATATATTTTCTTCYTTTTTCTTCTTAACCTCTCATCCTTCCAAACAGATATTAACTTTTCTAGCCTAATAAAACTTTTAAAGAATATTTCAAGCAAACTGTAAAAATGTGTATAGCTGAATCTCCACATGTTTTACATAATTCAGAGGAATGTCTCATGGAATTTTTTTCCTAGGAACACAAAATTCAATGTTTTTGCTTTTAAGAGCAAGTTACCTCTCATTTCCCATGATTTTTGCTCAAAAGGATTTTCAGCTTGAAATGTAGTAATTAAAAAACTCAATTAACAGTACTTTTAGCCACTACCTATTCCCCAATAATTGCGGTTCTGTACCTGAAAACAATCTATTAAAATATTTTATTCACYTTCATTATGTGGAAAACTTTCAGAAACGGGAAAATTACTACACTGAAAGAGCTGAATTGTTACATGGAAAGTGCTGTCAGAAACAGAAACTAAATTATCTTAACTAACTATAATAGTAATTCTTATATAGTCCAAAATAAAAAAAAAAGACAAATAGCTCCTAATCGTTGGTGATTACTGTTTTTTTAAGTATTGCTTGCAACAAATGTAGTTACTAATTTGACAATGATTTCTTAATGGTGTGCAATTGTCAGGGAGCAAGTTTCTCAAGTCAGGTTTTWAATTAAATCAGAACAAAATGTTAGGAAATGTCTTCATTGAAAACAGGGAACTGGATTCATACATACAGTTTTTTACCAGTCAATAGAGATGTATTTAATTTAGTAGAAAATGTCTAAAAGCAGTACTGTATTCTGATGGTATCTAAATTTAACTTTTTTTGCCAGTAATAGTTGTTTTTTTAAAAAAAGTTAAGGCTCAAAGCACTTGAAATATTTAAGTCTTCAGCTGTTTATGGAAGAATAACCCATTTTAAGTTTTTCTATTAGTGAATATATAYTCTTGTGAATTGAAAAGGACATTAATTGTGTTTGCTCAGAAATTTTGCTTTTCAAAATTACCTTTAGGTTGTGGTTAAAGTTACGTTATTTGCTGTTTTAGCCTTTATTTTCCTTGTGAACCTAGCACAAATAATTTTTAAGAGGCGAAATCTCAAAATCCATAAAATCTGATTTCTGYTTAAGCCAGCTGAGTGTATTTTTATTTATAAAAGGCAGGTTTTGTTATGTTTTATTCACAGGCACCAACGTGTGTGCCAAGAACAACGGCGGGTGCCACCAGCTGTGCCTGTACCGCGGCAGCGCTCGCAGGACGTGCGCCTGCGCTCACGGGTACCTCGCCCAGGACGGSGTCAGCTGCCTCCGACACCAAGGTTACCTGCTCTACTCGGGAAGGACAATACTGAAAAGCATCCACCTTTCAGATGAGACCAACTTGAATTCTCCAGTAAGGCCCTACGAAAATCCAGAGTACTTCAAAAATGTCATCGCWCTGGCCTTTGACTACAGCCTGAAGGGGAGGGGCACGAATCGAATTTTCTTCAGTGATGCCCACTATGGAAACATCCAAGTTATTAAAGACAACTGGGCTGGAAGAAGAGTGCTAATTGAAAGTAAGTAATTTTTTAAAAAATTATTTCCCAAAATGCCTATTTTATTTTGATAAACTTTATTGAGTGAAGAGTCAATGATCACTTTTCTTTATAGAGTGAAAAAGGCAATGAATTTTTACCATAATTTACTAATATATTTTATCCCTGTAAGATACATTTGAACATTAACCACTTCTAAATAATTTGTCTTAAAACAGGCTTAGGAGGCRTAAAGCATATTACTAGAAAACAGAAGTGATAATGGCAATGCTGAATTTGTATTACTGGGATTTTTAAAGAGCTTTAGTGCTGGAACAAAACCTCATTGTGGGTTGCTTGGAGATTAAACTTATTTGGCTGTTTATTTTTCTAGTTAGTAAGGGTGAAGTCTCTGTTGTAGCCATTTCTCAATATGAAATATGAAGACTCTGGTCAGTGTGTTCAGTTAATTCACCCTTCTTGAAGTGAAGCCCAAGAAAGGGACTTGTGCTCAGTGATAACCAGAAGGAAGTTCCCACCCACAAAATTGTTTGGTTTTAGTAGAGGCTTGCTTGGTAATATACTTCTTTACTGCTCATTTTTACTCAGCCTTCATTCAGTAGGAAGAGTTGTAGTAGGAAGAATTCTATGAAACGTGATGTATTTTTAGACTTTAAATATTTGTAGCTTCACCCTACCATCAAGAAATTGCTGCCMGCATCCTTACCAAAGTCTTCAGGATAAGACAAACCATGATTTTCCAGCTGAAGTCTCAATAAAATCTGAGTATCTAGCAATAAAATGTGTATCAGCGAAGTCTGACATAACTTTAATATGGTGTATGTAAAAAGTTACCAGGTTTGTCAAGGTAAGATTGGAATTCAAGGAAAATCTGAATACATAAGGGATATATCTTTAATGCTAAACATCCAGAAGTATTTTTGACAGAAGTGTTAATTCTGGAAATTTCTGCTGTCTTTCATTTCTGTTCCTCTTTACCCCATTCATCTGTAGTCAGTTATCAGCTGCAGATACTTAAAATAGTTTCTTCTATTACTTATCCTTTTTCACTACTGTCTGTTTTTTTTGGTTTTGTTTTGTTTCTTTAAGACTGCAATATCAGTAATTGTTTTCCAAAATGTCTGAACTGCCATACAGTATTTGCTTCTTAAGTTGTGGATAAATCTCATATGGATTTTTGTTGTTTTATGCTGTGTTGCCTAAATATAGCTATTTGTTTGGGTCASTTTAATAACAAGACCAAAGTGATGAGGAAAAATGGAAGTTTGTTTGATGTATCGCCTTTTGCTGTTAATGGAAATTATTTTAGAGGAGAAATCAAAGTGATAAAATATTGTTCCACAGCTGACGTTGGATGGTTGTTGTATGGTCTACCTTTGCTCTACAGTTCTGTGGAGTTTGTGTTTAGGAAAACAGTTGGCACTAATGCCCTTTTAAAAAAAAGGCATTTTAATAATTTTTAGACTGAAAGAGGGTAGATTTAGATGAGATTTAGGGAAGAAATTCTTCCTTGTAAGGTGGTCTTTATATTTTAAAGATAAACTAAGCAATGTTGTCAGGATGTTCCCATTACTCCCACAAAAGCATTAAACCAAAGGATTCWGAGTTGAGCTTGGCTGCACAAGAGACAGAAACGTGCAGTGGTAGCCTGGAAGCACAATTTTAACTCTGGTGTTATAAGAAGAGATTAAAAGTATTATATGAAAAGCTGCTGGAATTTTCAGCATTTAAAACAGACAAAGAGGAGAATTAAATACTGGTGAAGCACTAATGCAGATAGAAATTGGTTTTTAAAAGAACAATAAAGTATTCCTCATTACTTCATAATAGCTTGCTCTACAAGAGCTAAAGACATTCATAAAGTATAGCTGGGAATTATAGTTTTAAGAAATTGTTAGGAAGCGTTTCTACTTTTAACTTAATATGCCAGGTTTCATTTTTCATTAGCAGAGTCAGCACTCTGAATAATTGAATGTCAGATGAAATTTTGTATTCTTGCAGAAGTAGTCACTGTACATCCTTGGGATGTGTACGTGAACTCTGGTGTTTTGTGGAGGTACTTCTGTGTTATTGTGTAGAAATGCTCCTTTGTAAGTGAGATGAGTTATAACATCCCAAAATAGATTTGTTGCTCTCTTSTTATGTGTTTTAAACCTCTTCAGTATGTGTTGAGTCATTCCTTTTCAGCGGATGTTTTTGTAGCCTTCCATCCCACAGTCTGCAYGTGATTTTTGTCTCTCTGTAAACAAGAGACAGTTCATGGGGCTGCTTGATATAGTGGAAGTATTTGATCAGCCTACATCTAGAAAGAGAAAACACCACTAAATCAATTCACTGGAAAATGTAAAATTCTAWAATCTACAATCTTCATATTTCCACATTAAGAATCTGTGATTGCATAGAAATTATTGAATGGATTCCAGCTGAGAGATTTTGGTACTAATGTTTCATTTCAGGATTGAAAAATAACTTTTTTGACAGTAATTTTGCTATTCTTTTCTCCAAAATTATTAGAATGCACCTGTAGTAAGTTTTACTTCATGTAGAAGACATTYAAACCCACATTGGAAATGCCTTTTGTGGTCATATCAGTTCTGCAACCTTCTCCTACCTCATTAACTTGAAGTCCACAAATAGAACAAACCTTTACTCGGTAATTGACTTTAACAGAGAAAATAGGATACTTTACATGCAAGATACTGTTGTCCCAGGTTTTCAGTTCACTGAATGTAAATGTGTYCTTAAAGGATCTATTATCTGATGGATTCCTGCCTGCTGAAATCAGTCGTGGCACTCAAATCTCATAGATCCGTGAGATGTTCTGCACACTGAAAACACTTCAGACATACAGAGCTCTTTGGGAAACAGGTTTCCCGTTCACTAAAAACAGATTTACAACTCACGAGCAGCCCATTATCTAACATGTTTTTAGCTCACTGAGAACAGATTTACTACCCAGAAACAACCCATTATCTAACATGTTTCCAGTTCACTGAAAACAGATTTACAGCCCATACGCAAGCTATTATCTAACATAGTTCCGACTCACTGAATATTGATTTAGAATTCATAAACAACCCATTATCTGACAAATTTTCACCTCACTGAACAGATTTGCAACTCATAAACAACCCATTAGCTAACACATTTTCGGCTCAGGGAAAGTAGATTTACGGCATATAAACAACTTTATCTAACTTGTTCCAGTTCACTAAAAACAGATTCAAAACTCACCAAGAATCTTGTACCTGGTTGGGGTCCTGTCTTCAGCAGGAAGAATCAATGGCAGCAACCAGTCCAGGATGTGCAGAGTGTGCCCTGACACCTTTATTCTTTGTGCAGTGTAGATTTCTTTGAAGGGCATTCTTTTACATCTCTGAACTCTCCTTTGGTCATTCAGCAGCGGCTTTTTTTCTTTCTTATTTTTCTGAGTAACTTTATCAGGTTGATTTTTTGTACTCCCACTTTTTAAAAATTTGTTCTTGTCTCTGATTTCCCATAAACRTTCTTTTGGCTGATCTGAGTTGTTCCAAAGCTTATGTTTATAAAAACTAACATTTTTAGAAAAAAAATCCTGAAGTGTCAGTTTCTAACCTATTGGTGGTTTTGTTGTTTTCTTTTTTCATTTACATATCATAAGTAGAAGTTTGAAGTAAAATATTCATTAACTAAAACCTGCCACAGTGTATCTGTAGAAAAACAGTGCAGTGTTCAAAMAGGTTTAATTCAGTGGTAAAACAGTAAACAGACCAATGAACAAATTAAAAATTAAAGAGGAAAGATGGAGACAAGGCCAACAAATAAAAATTAAAAGAAATGAGAAAAGGGGAAAAGTGTTTAGGTACACTCAGTGAGCTGTTTTTTTTTTGGTTTTTTTTCCACCTGCCTGTGCAAGCAATGGCACTGAGACATTTTGCCAGTGTAGTGTCTTTCACAGCACAAAAGGGAAATGTTATGTGAAAAAAAYGCTCCTGTTTTGAACCTGAGGCACTCGTGCCCAAGGAACACAAAAATCTTTTCACTGCTAACATAAAGTGTCAGAATCTGTGATGTATTGTAAGGCTCTTTACAGTCTGAATCTTTTAAAGGTGTTCCAATGTGTGCTACTATTCTTCCTAACTAAATGGGTCCAATTTAACTGTCAAAAAGGCATTTATGTTCCCATTTCTCTCGTAGAGCATTACATTTTGTACATTGTATGAGATCCCTTTAGTTTTGGAGCTTTCTTCTCCAGCAAAGAACTTTTTAATCTGTTAAAAATAAATACTTGAATATTCCTTCTTTTTATTTCATAAATTAATTGGATTCGTTATATGATTGTATGTGTTGGAATATATTGGTCCAGGGACTTTCCATTTTTAAGGAAGGATAGAGTGAGAGGCTGTTGTTAAGTCTAAGATATTCAAATAGAAAAACATAATATTAATTATTACAATGCCAGCCTTGTTAGAGAAAAAGTTTCTGGTTTGTCAATGTRATTTGTTTCTGCATATTGGAGAATCAGATAATCACAGAATGTTTTGGTTGGAAGGGTCTTTAAAGATCATCCTTGCTCCAGCACCCTGCCACTGGACAAAGATTAGCGGGTAAAATCTGTGAGTTGCTATTATAGGTGGATGAAGTTTACTAATTTTATTTTCAGATTTTTTGTTTAATTTTCGAAATATGCATTTCTGCACATTTCGTGCTTTGTTTGTGTGTTGGTGTGAAACTCTGAAATGTGTTCGTGGCAGCAGCTGACTCACCTCGATCTTTTAGTTTGGTGTGTTCTGAGCATTCCCAACCTGAGTGCTGAGGTAAAGTGTTCCTGCCTGTTCCAACTGAAATTTTTCATAAATTAGTGATTTTTTGTGACTGATTTGATTTTAAACATTACACTTGAATTTGTATTGATATATGAATTTACTAATTTTTTCTATCAGAAGCTGTGACTTAGTTGCATAAAATGTGAAACTGTGGTGAATTACAGGGAAAAGCTACACAGGGGAACATCTCTCAATTTTCAATTTTTCATTGTATTT